ATGGAATAAAAAATAAATGGCTAATATATACAATGTTTTCACGAAGGAGGCATACAGTATTACACACTTATTATTAAATACATTATACATTTATATGCATGCAATATAAATCATACTTCAATTAAGCTATATTTTTTTTCTTTTTGCTTTTCTTTCAGTATGACAAACTTGTGTTAAACGAAAAAAAAGAAATCATCAAATCTGAGTTTACTGTCTATGGTAGAAAAATTCCTCTCAAGGAGATAAGGCAAAACATGCTCGAAGCCCACAAGCCATTTCTCAGGGCACTGGAGAGCACTCAACTCAATTATGAAAATCTATCAGAGCAAGATCTAAAGAAAAGGTTAGATGCAATAAATGAGCTAAATGAGCTGACTAAAGAAGAAATGAAGGATAAGTTGAAGACAATGGAGAAGACCCGTAACTTACAAGTATGGTTGGACAATTCTTCAGTGGCCAATCATGGGTATCTAGTCTGCCTCATCACCTGTCTCTATGACCCAGCTGTCTTCCTAACTAATGACGAATATGCCTTGAAAACTGGCCAAGACCTGAGTGTGCAAGATATCGTYGAAACACCAACGGTACACTTTATAGCTCGATGTGGTAGTGCTGACTGTGAGCAGTTGATGTACTCAGAAACCAGAATGCAGTGTATCGAAGAACTTAAAGAAAATATAACTTATGAGAATATTGAGTATGTTGACAAAATGAGATTTTGTCATGGTGACAGCCCCCTGAGAGCATTTGAAGCTGGCCACCAAAAAGGTGGTAATTATTTCTGCTCAAGCTGTGGGGTATTCTTTAACATGGTCTATGATCTTGACCATGTTTTGAATTGTCAACTGAATTCTCTACAAGACCGGCAAAAGAAAGTTCTATCTGGTAGCGTTGCCAAAAGGMAATCCCTTCAGAAAAAAGCCAAGCCACTACAAGATCTCACAAAAAAAATGCTAGAGGAAGAGTTGGGTTCTCGCCGCATATATGATGGAAAGACAAAAAAGGAAATGCAAACCCTACTGACTGATGAAATGTGTGGAATGCAGCGTGTACCAGCTTTGCTGTTTAATACTCCACTAGCTTCACTTCAACACCTTGGACTTGACAAATATGAAATTTTACCAGCTGAGCCTTTACATGATATTGGAAACCACATTAATAATGTCCTCACAGAGTTACCCCACCATCTTTCTCCTGAAGAATCTAAAGTGCTGCAGGAATCCATTGAGACATGCCTTGCCAGCAAAGAAAGCAAAAGGACAGTGGACTACCGTACTGCCCTAATCAAGACCACTGGATATGCACACCAGTCTGGTGTAATGTCAGAAAAAGTTCTCAGTCTTCTCGACTCCTTAGTAGAAATCCAGAGAATCCTTTACCTGCCCRATGAAAACCGATCCCCTTCCAYGATACTCCGTTTTTGCAACCAAGTGTGGTACCACTCCATCCTCCTTAAAGACCTAATTGCCAACCCTCAGAAACTTACCCTACGAAAGCTGTATGGTGTCTACTTCCATAACCTGTCTGCGCATGCTGCGACAATGCTGAGAATCATATCAGGCCAGTCTGCACACACCGAAAACCAAGAACGAATTTTCAACCATCWTAAAAGAATWACAAAGTCCACCAGCAACTACCATCCTGGCCATGTGATTCCAAATATGCTAATTCGCCTTAAAGCAGAAAAAGAAATGGGAGATTTAGAAGACTCTGTCGCCATACAGCAATCAACCATCAGTACACTATCAACATGCCTGCCCCTGCCCTCAAATACAAAGATTCCTTTGGATATCATACAAACGCACAGCCGTGAATGGCAAGCGCATCTGCAACAAATCAGCGATTTCCTCTTAGAAGGGAAAGGGAAATGGTGGAATGAATGCAATGATGCCATTGAGTTCTATGACATCTCTATCCAGCCCCCTGCAAATGAAACTGGGCCTCCCCTACACCATTTTAGATCCAGCACTCTTGCATCAGAAGCAGCCTACCTCAAGGAATGCTGGTATAGATGCATCCAACAGAACATCCAAATACCCACACACATCCTACGCCTTGACGAAGCTAATGGAACTACTACTGTAATACACACTAGATTTTTGGATAGTGTCCATGATCATGAGCAACTTGATGAGATTCCTGAATATGTTGACAGTACTCATGATGATATCACTGATGATGAAGACAGCAATGCAAGTGAAATGATAATTACTACTACAACCATAAATGAAGAAAGTGGCCAATGCTCTAATGACTGCAGTGACTCTCTGACCCTGCAATGGACATTGCTGATGATAACATTTATGAAGAACAAGTGATAGACATAGCACCTGCTTCTGATGAAGTTATAGCTTTAGATGATATACATGTAATTACTAGCCAAAACACTGATCCTACACTTAACTCAGCATTAGCTCCTTCTTCTCAAGCACATGAAATAACAGGAGAAGACACACGATTACTGACAAACACTATAGTTACTACAACACCAGAGAAGAACCTATCTAAGTCTTATGACAACAAAGTGATAAGTAGTCGCATCGGGAAAGCAGTACAAGTCGTTCTTGGAGATATAGATGATGTTTCTAAGTTTGAAAATAAATATCTACAACTGAAAAGTGCACAACGTGACAACAGCTATCCCACAGATACCAAAAAGGAGYTGGAATCCACATTCAAAGATATGCTGGCACAAATACAAACCAAAGTACTAGCACAAAGCACCCAAGCAAAGCAAGAACTAAAAAAGTGGGAGAAGCAATATTTTTATAATGACCTCTGTACACCAACATACGAAGTAATGAAGGCAGACAAAACAGCCAGTTCTTTATTACAGAAAATCAAGTATGCAAAAGCCTTATTCAAGCAATGGAAAATTGACTTTTCATAATTATATGAAGAGAATCATATACACCAATTSATTTATTATATTGTACATATTAAATTCAGGTATCCATGCATAGTATTTATGTTAGAAATTAAATAATTTCAATAATCAAAACAATGAACAAAATGTCAGATTTTGATATCAATCCGGCTATATTTATTTATTTTAAATGAGATTGGATGTTWATAATGTATAGTACTTATTATGAGTTTGATTTATATCGAAGTAACTGCRTGTATACTGACTCAATCGTTATAAATAAAACAAGTAACAACACATAAGCTTAATAAAGACATTATTAACTCGAGATCCTCCTGCTATATAAAAGGCGTGCGAAGTCGATCCTGAARAGAATCGACTGTGGAAAATTCGATCATACGTGAGCTATACCTGAAGCACTTTTAACTGTACAAATAATCTTAATAAAATTAARTTAAGTAAACTTAATACTATGCCGTTCGGGATGTYGTAGTCGACTTTCGCTACTTAAGTTAATATGTAAAAATACGTTTGAAGAAGAATGTGTCGATGGTATGCTCGCAAACGACCAGAAAGACTGGTTAATAGAAAATTAAAGTGAGTTTTAATGTTTCAGTGTATTTAAATCTACAAGTTTAAATATAAGTTACAAGACCTCAACCTTATAAGACTTATAAGCATGCAAGATCGAACAAACACGTATTAAAGCTTACATTTAAAGCTCATAATAACTCACCTTTCTTATATTAGATCGGCTTTCCAATCCACAGTAGATCACACAGACAGTATAACAAAGAAAATCCACACATTTGTCTTGAAAGGACATAATTCCTTTTGATCTAAAACGTTTAAACTTATAAACAAAAATCCCATGCGTTTGGACAGCCTCACCAGCCGCCGACTCGATCCTTTCGCTTGGCATTTCGTTGCTAGACAACAAGGTTCCAGGCCTCTTGGCCGCGATACTCTGCTGGGGGTTAAATTCGGGTCAAAGCCGTGCCTTAATTGCCTTGAGGAAATCATTCGGAACGATGGATTTATAAAATCCCGGGCAAGGTCTTACTCGCTTAGACATGCTACTAGTGAATGACTTGTATGCAAGATCCGGCAGGTAAAAGAGCCGAGACTTACCAATTAGGAAACAACACTTTCACTTTCAATGATGCTAATCCTGTCACACACCATTAATCACAGGAGTAACAACTAGTTTATAGAACGCCATCCCTTGTCTTTATTCCTCAAGATTTATGATTTATTTC